GGTTTAAGGTGAATGCATAAATGGAATTTTAACATTGTTTGGTAGTTAATATTTACCATAATATAGAGGAGGAAGAATTGTCATAGATTATTCTAAGACGCAATAAGTGTATGTTATCTAGTGTTATTCAGGGGTGGACTAAAGGCCGTAAAGATTTTCTTTTGTCCATTTAAAGGTTTATAGCTCTATTACAACTTGCTTATTAAATGTGAACCTGTTTTCTTTTAAAATGAATGTTACAATGGTAAATACATTGTGAAATGTAGAGTCAAGGTCACTAGATGCCAAAATTCTTTTCTTTTCTTAAGCCAAATGGCATAACATAACTGTAATCTTGGCTTTTCCTACTATACTTTATTAAAACATTACAACCTTGCCAGGATTACCTTCTGATTAAATTAGACTAACCGTATTGCTGCTGTTGTACAATGTGCTCAGGCCGGTCTCTGATGAGAAAAGACTGAGCTCTGAGCAGATTTGTAGTGACTTTGAATGATAAACTGTTTTCAGAATAGGAGCATTTAGCTTTTTCCAATCATTGCACAAAATGCTTTTTACTTATTCTGGTAAGAAACATGCTCATGTTGCCAGAAGTACTGGAACAATTTCTCTAATGGGGTGCAGAGAGCCATTGAACCAAACTGTAAACTCTGTGTATAATGGAAACCACATCAAGACAGGTGGTACAGCAGCACTTCCCACAAATGAAGCCTGGGAAATTCAAATCCCGGGCTTCATTTGCAAGTGCGGTATGCCTACATTACCCCGCTAGTTCGAACTAGCGGGGTAGTGTAGACATACCCGGAGGGAGTTAAGGTAAAATAAAACTGGCAGGGTTGCTTAACAAAATCAGAATTATTTCCAAAGTTGTACCAAGGATGGTGTTTTACATATACTGCTTCCTTTCATTAGAGAAAAGATTTATCAAGCTGAATATATAGGGAATTATTCTGTCTCGGTGATATGGTACCAAGTTAGGAGGTAGCGATGGCAAACATCATTCTGCCTCTTGAATGGTAGGATTTTGGGAATAGCAATAGATTGATTGGATCCTAGAAAGATCATTTCTGAAATACAATGTAGGTTATATCAATATATAAATTACAAGAAACTAAGACTTAGGTGATAAATAAAGGTCCATATGTAGTTGTATGCAGACAACCATTTTTGTTTGTGTCAAATAGCATAACACAGCACATACAGAGAAAAGATGTTTCTAGCGCCACTATGACTCTAGTGAGAAAGAACTCTGTCTGCTTAAGCAGATAGTGAGATAGGGGCAGGTGACTCATCACTTCCTGGTGCCATCCCTTTTTTAGCATCTTTGTTCCTAGATAGAAATTAAGGATGGAATTAATACAGCTCTAACTGGCACTCCCTCCCTCTGGCTTCCTTCTTCAGCTGCAATTGAGCAGTCAAGTAGCAGCATGACACCTGAAAGAGGATGTTGCCAACAGAAACATGGGGGGACATGATAGCCATTTTCAGGTATCTAAAAGGGTGTCATAAGGAGGAGGGAGAAAACTTGTTCATCTTGGCCTCTGAGAACAGAACAAGAAGCAATGGGCTTAAGCTGCAGCAAGGGTGGTTTAGGTTGGACATTCGGAAAAAGTTCCTAACTGTCAGGGTGGTCAAACACTGGAATAAATTGCCCAGGGAGGTTGTGGAATCCTCATCTCTGGAGATATTTAAGAACAGGTTAGATAAATGCCTATCAGAGATGGTCTAAACAGTATTTGGTCCTGCCATGAGGGCAGGGGACTGGACTCGATGACCTCTCGAGGTCCCTTCTAGTCCTAGTATTCTATGGTTCTATGTTTCTATGAAAGAAAGGATAGCAGAGAAGTGTAGGTTGGGTGGGGATAGAGGATTTTTGTACCTATGATGACCAAGCTCCATGCGCTTGTTTCCCACAAATGTCACAGTGCTTCAAGCCTCTACCTACCATGTCTGGAAAGTCCAGGTGAGGAATTCTTAGGTGATATCCTGACTTTTTAGAAGCTTGCCACAGTTCCTTTCCTGTGGTATGATGGCAGCTTGAATGACTTGCAAAATGAGCAACTGAAGACCTGATTAGACTATAAGGGCAGGGATCATCTGCTATGTTTGTAAACCGGCTAGCGCAATGGGTTCTTACTCTTGATTGGTCCTTAGACACTACTGTAATAAATATGATTAATAATATTAACAACAAATCACCTGAGACAGCATAGTGCTTAGCTGTTTATCCAGCAGCCACAGCTAATTGTAGATACTTGATCCCTTACACAGAGGTTTTAAGACAGTATATACATGCAGGTTCCAAATCCACTGGCCATGCCCCATTCTATTTCAGGCCCATTCACAAGCACTATGTTTTTCCTATGCTGGTGCAGTGACAGTTCCCCCTTCCTCCATCCCACCAGAACATTTCTCTAGAGCACGGCCATGGTACAGGGTCCTTCTCATCTGCTTCTCCTCTTCCTGTATATGTTCATTTTCCCCTTCAAGCTTTAGTCCTCTCTGGTTTTTGTATGACTTCTCTTTCTCTTCCCTTTTCCTCAAACCTGCCCTATATTTGTAGAGATTATTAGGCAACTCAAACAAGCCCATTTTCCAGCAAAAGAGTGCTAATTCATCTCTAGGGTGTATAGCTAGATGTAATTCTTTGCAACAAAAAACATGAAACCAAAGCCAGGAAACTGGTAATTTTTCATGTCTAAGCTTAGCCCTGCATAATACATAGCTCCTCATCCTGCCTAAAACCTCCCAAGCAGCTGATAGGAGTCTGAGAATTGGCTCATAAATAAGTAGCTAGAACAATATTGGAAAAATCCATTAGTTGTGCCTAAGGTTCCTATTAGCCCCCATTTATCTATAAAGTTATCTCAGAACTATATACTCAAAACTGAATCCAAAAACTTGGTTGTGAATAATAATGATTAATTATATTTTGTTAAAGTCTTATTTTTATTAAGAATGCATTTTTAGGTTGGCATTAGAAGGTAGCCACTTAAAAATAAATAGTTTTCCTTTCTATATACTAGGGGGCTATGCACCCTGTTTGCTGTACTCTCCAATCCTCCTCCATCTGCCATAGCTGGATCGTGACCTCTCCTCCTACGCATGCAATAGCAAGAAGGGGGCCACCACCAGCCCTTTCTGCAGCCAGATGAGGGCTGGAGAACAGGGCCTGACCCAGGATCAGGACTGGGGACAGGACGCTGCACCCAGATTGAGGCTAGACCCCAATTGTGGTCTTGTTGGGCAGGCTTAATTTTCAATAAAGTAGAATATTATGTTCAATAGAAAAAGGTTTTAACATTGTCTTTATTAATGGCAGGGGTGGGGAACCTTTTTGGGGTCAGGGGGCCAATGATCCACAGAAAAATCTGTTGGGGACTACACAAGTGAGAAGGAAAAGAGGTCCTTCCAAACCTCCCCAGCCCTCAATGATACGGCCCCCACAACTGAAACACCTCACTTCCCTGGTGCTCCAGCCCCAGGGGTGGGAGTGAGGGGAAGAGGACTGAGGTTCAAAGCCTCAGGCCAGATTAAATCTTTGGCGGTTCCAGGGATAGTGGATTTTGTGGGCCCCCTAGGCTCTAAGGTGGGGCCAAAAATGATGGGTTCAATGTGTGGGACAGGGCTGCAGTGGGTGGGATAGGGATGTGAGTGCAGGATCTGGGCAGAAGGAGGAGTGCAGGAGGGGCTGAGGGTGCGAGGTCTGGGTGGGACTAGGAGGCAGGGTGTCTGGCCTGAGGAGGGGGAAGAGTGGGTTGGGGGTGCAGGGACTCGGTGGAGGAAATGAGTGAGTGGAGATGGAAGGTGTGGGGTTTCGGCGCCTCATCAGGGCAGTGAGTGAGGGGGCTGGCGGTATGGGGCAGGAGTAGGGTGGATGTAGGTGTCTGGCCAGGAGGAGGGGGCAGGAGCAGTCTGGGAGCAGGGTTTCTGGCTAGGGGGAGGGACATAGGAGTGGGTTGGGAGGTGGGGACTGGGCATGAGGGTGTGGGGGGCACTTACTTGTCTTCAGCCCCTGTGTCAGTCCCAGGTGCGGCCTCCCATTACTCCCATTAGATGGAATCTGGCCAATGGGAACACAGGGAAAGGCTCCAGACAGAGAGAGGGAGCACTTCTTCCCCGTGCAGTGAAGCTTGGGATTCTCTCTTTTCTCCCCACCCCTAGGGGAGCCAGCACTAGTGCTCCAACTGTGCAGGGGAGGAGGTAGGGCAAAACTGCAGCACCAGGTAAAGGGGGCCCAGGCCATTCAGGTGAGCGCTGCCAGGCACCTTCCCCCTGCGTTGCAGAAGCACTGCTTATTACTGCAGCCACATCCATGGCTGGGCAAGTGTGGGGGAGGCAGTCAGGGGCCTGGGCTTGGGTCTCATTAGAGCAGTTCAGTGCTGGGCTGAGGATGCAGACACTCAGGGTGCAGCGTAGTATGGATAGCAGGCAGCCTGGAACACAGGGGGCCTTGCCCTGAACCTGGCGCTTCTCCTGAGCCTGCTGGCCCAGCTGTCTGTGAGTGCCAAGAACAATAGTGGTGCAAGCAGGTTTCCCTGGAGCAAGTTGTGCCGTCTCTGAACAGGCTCTGGGAGGGCAGAGCCGATGGGACACCCGAGTGACAGGATGACGTCACTCTATCATCCCACAGGAAATTTTTTTTTATAGAAAGAGATGTATTTTGTCTTGTATTAGAGAGGGACTTATTGCAAACATCCACTCTTGTTGAATTTGGCTGAGGTATTAATGATAATAAATCACACGGGTGGTTTGCTTGGAAATGAAGCTACTTCACTATTTGCTATATCAAACCTGAAAAATAAATATTTTTGTCAGACTGACCCAGTGAGTCAGAAAGAAGAACTTTTTTATTTCAGGAAGATGACTTATCAAATATGTTTGCCTACTAGTCTTTTGAGAGACATTGACTGAAAACCATATCTTTGCTTTTTACACCATTTTACAAGATTTTACACAGGATGAAAAGAGAGAGATACCTCTGTATTTTTATTTTGCAGGTGCTCATAAGGAAGAAATAGCTCTAATGAATGGCCTGACTGTTAATCTGCATCTCCAAATGGTACATTCACTCTTTTTTTCTGTATGTAGTAAATTTGAAATTGTCAAATTAACTTTAGCCTTTGTATCTTGAATTCAAAAAGATTTTACTCTTCCTTCATGAATTTGCTCCTTAAAATATTTTGTGGAGATTCCTACAGGAAAACACAAGACACTGATCTCAATACCTTTTTCAAAATACTTGAGCATTAGGCTACGTCTACACTACAATGCTATATCCCGAAATAGCTATTCTGCATCTTCACAGCAAGCTCATTATTTCAGGCTTGCTATTCCGATGTCCTTGTAAACTTCATTATATAAGGAGTAACAGATGTTTCAGAATAGTACTTTATTTTGAAATTTCGCACTGTGGCCATGACTAGACTACGTTCTATTTTCAAAAGAGGATATGCAAATTCCAGCTGAATTTGCATATCTTCTTCTGATCGCACTTTTGAAAGAGGATCTTCTTTCAATCCCATTTTTTGAAAAATAACCGCTGTTCCTTAAAAAATGAGGTTTACACGTTTTTTTCGAAAAAGGTTTTTTTTCCCAATAAAACCACGTCCAGAGTACTTTAACTTTTGAAAGATCAAAGAAGATATGCAAATTCCCATCCTCTTTTGAAAAAAACCCATAGTTTATACGTATGCTGTGTGGACAGCGCCAAATGACAAAATAACCTATTTCAAAATCCCTATGGCCTTCACGGCAGGAGCATGAACCAAACACTGCCACCATCAGAGAATTATGTAGGAAGTTTGGGGAAAGCTCAATGCTCCCTCTTCAGGCTTTGCTACAAGGGATAATCTGAATCTTGGTTATTAGAGATAGAGTATGGACAGTCAGGACTACTGTGTTTCATTTCTGTCTCTGCCAGTAATTTGCTTGTATGACCTTGATCAAATCATGTGGGTGTAATCCTAGCTCCACTGAAATTAATAAGAATTTTGCCATTAACATAAACAAAATAGGATTTCATTCGCAATCTCTTCATGGCCCTACTTACAGATCTATAAAATGGGTACAAAGTCAGAAAAGTTTTCTACAACAGATTTTTGTAAAGACTAAATATTTTTCAAGTGCTCTGGCATTATTTTGACGTACTCTACATAAATGTGAAAATTTTTTGTATTTTGTTAATTTATACACAGAGATTAATTTTTTGGTCCCCATTTAGATAAATGTTTCAAAATATCTTTTTTTTTTAACAGTTATCTTTTTTTAATCCTTCTCCAAGTCGCTATAAAATTCTTCTAGAAGCCAAAGCCTTTCCCTCTGACCACGTAAGAAATTCATTTTTCACTGTATTTGTATTATTGTATCATAGTTTTGGAAAGAGTATCAGTAGCCTGGTTTGAATATTTATTAGCTAATCTTGTCCAAGTAACATTACAATAAAAATAAAAACTGTCAGATGCTTTTGAGCTCAGCATGTTTTACAGACTGTAGTTTTATTCTTTTCGTTCAAATAAAAAATGTTACAAGATGAAAAGATTGAATGGGTACATTGATTTATTAGTCTTTTTAAAGACATTGAGCAAACTGCTTGCCTAAATCAACTGAAGTTGTAGCTGTTTTATTAATTCATGTTGCTATTTTACTTTAGGAAACCAAATCAATAGAAAACTCACAACATTAACACTTGTATATCCCTAGACAGAGATGGAAATGCTTGTTTTTTAGCACTTTAAATTACTAGTTCAAACATAATTTGTGTGCTATGAAATAGGAGACAATAGTCTGTGCATCGCAGCTTACATCAAATTAATCTTTGAGTTTGTGGCCCAGTGCTACTTAATCATCAACTCAGTAAAGTCTTGGAAATTGATAAAAAAATTTATCTTTAAGGCACAATAAAATGACTCCAAATATCACTCATAGGATTATTTGTAACAAAGACGATAGCATGGATGCATGAACTGCAGAATTGCCTTTATTCTAGTTTATAGAGCTCAATAATCATATATGTCCTTTATTTACTACTAGCACAGTTACCCAGCATTGCTCAGGCTCTTAACTCAATTAAGTTTTTTTTTTAATAAAAGGAAAAGCTACCTGCTTTATATAAAAGATTGTATTTTTCAAAAATAAAGTGTAATTTTTAGGAAGGTAATTTTTATTTTGGATTCCTAGGGAGGGTTGGATGTGGCTGAAATACCTCCCCCCTCCAAGATTCATACCAGGGCAGCATGTTCTTCCCTTTCCTGTCACTGTCAGGAAACACGTACAAAGTGCACAGATTGTCTGCCCCCTGAGATCTCCAGCCAGAATCAGGAATGCAGAAAACAGTGCATTTTCCTCTTACTTCCTGACAGTGAGAAAGGCGACCAGCCTGAAACATCCTCATACAAATCTGGGGGAGGGAAGCTGAAACTTCCCCCTTCCTAAAGTGTGCCTGGGGGTTGGGAGGCTTTGGGATGGGGCAGTCCCAGACAGAGAGTGATGACTCCTCAACCAGCCCCTTTTACCTGCCTGGTGGGGGGGAAAAAAGGATTCTGTCTCTCATCTGTTTGGTTTTCTGAGAAGCAATCCCAATCCCATTTTCTTGGCACAACCAAACTCTTACTTTGCTCTAAGTTATGATAAAAGGAAGCAATATATCGAATTTAGTGGTCCTAGCTTTTTATATTTTAGGTGGAGTTCTTGAACAAGCACACAAACAGATAGACAGACAAATTCTCTAAAATATATAGTAGATAACGTCACCTGTGCACACTCTATGCCCTATGTTCATGTTCCTTTGACACTCTAATAATAAGCTGCCAACTGCCTTCACCTCAGACCACTGTGCTATAATTAACCGTCTGTAGCCCAGCAATTCTGTTTTATTATATTGAATATTTTCCTCAAATATTATCAGTGCAATATCTTTAGTGATAAAAACCTTGGCCAAGATTTTAAAAAACTGTCTTGGAGATATAGACATTGTTTAGAAATATTATTATTATTATTATTTTATAGTGCCACTAAGCACTAGTCATGGACTAGGTCTCCATTGTGTGTGCTAGGTGCTGTTTAGTCACAGGAAAAAGGAACCTTGGCTCACTGATGTCAGTTGACATTTTAGCCCCATTGAATTTAACCTATTAATTTTAGCCCCATTGAATTTAACCTATTAATTTTAATGAACAATGTGTGTCTAAATTCCATGGATCTAAAATTCTCAGCCATTTCTTTTAAAATTTCTCTTGCTTATTTTTATTAAGTTGTAGTATGTGAAATTCTTTTTCAGTATGCTGTTGAATCTCAGCTTCAACTTCATAGACTTGATGTGGAGAAATGTATGCTCATGATACAGCCACGTGAGGTTTGTAAGGGATATAAATATCATAACTCTGCTCTCCTTGTTAACATTGATTATGCTATGTATGTTCATTTAGTACAAGAATGGAGGAGTTGACCCCCACATTTTTTAACATCTGCTGTCACTTGTTATGTACATTCATCTCCTCTGAAGTTTCTACTCAGATGCCTATAATTTTCAGATAAACTTCTCAGTTTCCACTGATTGTTTATTTCAGGTTTCGGGAACCTTTTTTGGTTTGGGAGTCACTGACCCACAAAATATCAGTTGAGGGCCACAAAAAAGTGAGACGCTCCTCACTGACGTGGCCCCCCCGACTGAGAAACTCCTTCACATCCCCCCTCACATTCCCAGGGTAGAATTTGGGAGCCCAAAACTGGGCTTAGTGTGTTAGTTTAGTGTGTGAGAGGAAACTGCTGGGTATCAGGTTGGGGGGAGAGGGGTCTGGTCAGGAGGGGGATGCAAGAGTGGGGTGGAGGTATGGGTCTGGACAATGCTGATGTGGAGTCCCCAGTGCTGGGGCTGATGGTGCTCCAAGCCTTGGGGGCCACATCCAAGCAAGCGTTAGGTTCCCCACCCTGAGTCTATTTTGATGCTCTTCATATATTTCGTATTTAAGTACCAATATTATATTTGTTGTCTGAATTAAAGCACTGGACATATCTCTTGGGAAGAAAATAATCTTTCAAATCCATTATTTACTATATATTTTCTGATTGCCACAACACAGTGGGCTCCTGAAAGAATGCAAGATTTGGAAGCATCAGCATGGAGCTTCACTATAGCTTTCTTTCTCAAAGATTGCAATAAGACAACATGCGGTATTTTAGTACCACAACATAAGGAAAGTGTCTTCTTCAAGAAATATTTAATTCAGATCATTTTGAGAGAAGATTGCATTACATCCCCTCTCAACACTACAAAGTTTGATACCTAATTATCATATGGATGATGACCTTTGGACTCTAAAATCTGAATAATCTGTGAGAAGAAAGAGTCTACTCATGAATCCTTCCTTGACAGATGTTCGAAGATTGTTAAGATAATTGCAGTTACTTCCAATTTAGCAAATTTTCCCAACCTCTTTACAATAGTAATTTTAATTTCATTCCAAATTTTCACTGTCTAGGTGATCCCTTTACAGTGGTGTGTTTTTATGTGCTACTTTGCTAGGAAGAAAAGGGTGGGGAGGAAGGAGGTAGAAAATGTTTCTGCAAAGAATCAAAGTTAGATTTTTTCTGTTAAAATTTATTTATATTTAATGGCTTCAGGTTTGTGGGATTTTGTACTTCTTGCTTCTGTCATATATAAATATAAATATGGCAGATTTAGAATAGCTTCCTGTGGGAAATGAGGTGTACTGAAAAGTAAGGGTGAGACCTGGTAGACGGCTTTTAAGCCTTGTGGGTGTCACAATTTTCAAATGCCACATAAAAATCATTATGTATTCTGTTTGCACCAAGATCTTTTTATACTGTAAATTAAAACTGTCTGCAATATTAAGAGGAATGAAGCATGTAAGAAAGCAAAATGACTGTTTTTAAGAATCTACCACCTTGAAAATAAGCTGCTAATGATTTTTTCTTTTTTTTTTTTTTTTGAAGTAACCTACTCAAAGGCTATTTCCTGCCTCTACCTTTGTAGATCATTGCTTTGCTAGGATACGCTTTTGATCTTCCTATGCAGGCGGCACAGCGCATAGTAAAATATAGATTATGAAATAAGAAATGACAGTTTCATTACTGCCAGGGTAGATGTAAAACATGTGCTTTAACTTTATTTTAGGGGGAGGAGACCTTGAGAACTGAAGATATCCTTGACATAATTGAGAAGGAAGGGGACTCTATTGCTGTAATTCTGCTGAGTGGAGTGCAGTACTACACAGGACAGCTGTTTGACATCCCCAGAATAACAAAGGCAGGCCAAGAAAAGGTAGAATTGTTCCACAACTATTTCTTTCTCTAAAACCAGTTTTAAATAATCCTCGACCCACCCTATAAAATGGACAGGCATGTAACCTATCGGGGGTCTATCTAAATCACTCTAAAGATCTATAGAGCTCTCTATCTAATTATATACTTGCAGCCCCGATAAAAATCTTATGAGGTGGCATTAATAATCTACAGAAGGGCTATTATTATTGTTTGCTAAATTTCTTTCTTTTGAATTCTGAATGGGGACAGAAATGATCATCCCAAACTCTGTTTAAAACCTACAGCACTGTGTGTTAGATTTCTGTTTAAACAGATCTTAGCTATTTTACCTCAATACTCACTTGCTCACTGGCAGCTGCTATCACAGCATTTTGCCTCCAGTCAGCAGGGCAAGGTGAGTTCCCTGTGGAGCTGACAGCTTCTGACTCAGCTGATCAGTTAACAGGAGACAGGTAGGATACTGAGTATATCACCTTCATGAGATGACTAGTTTTCAATACAATGACTCAGCCTCGGAAACTTGCAGCCAGTGTAGCAGAGACTTACTGTCCATATGTCTAAGGGAGTCGTTTAACCACCTTGATTGCCTCTGGAATGCAGGGAAAGGTAGAGTCTTAATTAAGTTTCCTTATCAACAAGAGATCAGAAGACTTATCAGGACAGAGGCACATTTTTTATTGGATATCTCTTATCTGACCTAAGATACTCAAGGAATTAACATACTGGATGCTACTAGATTCCCATAAACCTGCAGTGCAATTGTAAATGAACAGTTAACACTTAGGAGGCTGTAGCCCTGATCACAAAAGGTCTTTCACTACCTTTTATTAGTATACTTTCTGTCTCTCCTTTGCTGAGCCCCTTGGGCACCAGTGCAGGCCCATGAGTTAGTTACAGTGGCCATGGAACGAAAACACTGAGTGAACCCTCTGAACGGCACCTGGAAATCTAATTTCTCTAAATGCAACATAAAGCTGCTTTCCCTTATCCAGAAACTGCAAGGGAGGGCATGGAATGACAACCAGGTCTGTCTTCTACCAGGCTTAAACCTGGGCATTGCATTTCCTTGTTTCAGCTTACATGAATTTAGGTACACATGTTTTAGAGCCATGTAATTAGAGCCATGTAACTATATAATTATGTTTTTATATCATCTTTCTTGAGATCAGCTGACCCAGTGAGGGGCAACCTAGACTAGCAAGTGGGCCACATGAGTGGCCCTCCTTTATCTCAGTGGGCTTCAAGATTTTCATAACCAAGATGCTCTCCCGGGATAGGGTAGTTTTGCTATCTGTGCTTGTATGCCCAGAATTTGTGGCATGTTGTCATGATCCTGAGGGTTAACCAGCAGCCTGGGAACTACGGGTTAACCTTACCTAAGCCAGGTAGAGTCAGCCAATAGGAATGTAGGTAGGAATTTCAAACTGGGACAAAAGAATTTTGGGTTTTTCCCTCTCTTTTGTCCTGGTTAGTTTCTCTCCATCTACTGAGGGGGACAGACAGAATGTCTCCCTCCAAGAAGAGACTCTTCACTCTTCTTTAAGTAGGGTAAAGTTTAGATAAATCCATTAGATTTTATTGTTTTTATGATTTGGGAAATGGGATCTGATGTCTGTGCATTTAAAAATGCTTTTTGCTCTCTTTTGTAACAAAGCTCCTGGCCCATGGTGGGTTTCTCCTCCATGAGTATATTACTTTACTTTTCCATCTAGTCATTATGCTTGCAACAGGAATATTGTACTGATAATAAAAGTTCTTTCTCTTTTCTTTTCTTAACCTGGCATCGGTTAATTTTTGTGTCCTGGTTTCTACTTTAGGGATGAGATTTCCCAAGTGATCTCTCCCCTGATTTTCTTATCAATACTTGGGTGGTGGCAGCGGGATTTTATGCCCAAAATCAAGGTTGTTAAGATTTTGGCGTGAGTTTTATACCAAAGCCTGGTAAATAAGGTTTTGGGGTACTTTTGCTGGCCCCCCACTTCTGCATTTATCATGCCAGAGTGGGGAAGCAGCCATGACAGGTGTGCTGATTAAACTATAGCAGTGCTTTGATTGGATGTAGAAGGAGCACATGTTCTCTCAGAATCAGTACACACTTCACTTCACATGCCCTTGCTTGCCATGTATGCCACTTTAGTAATACCAGTATGAAAAAAAAAACCTACTCAGATGAAAACCAGCAGAATCTGGAAACTGTGTGTGGGCAACAGTAAACAAAATGTCTCATGGACCACACATGGAACCCCAGTGAGCCAAATGTGGCCCTTGGACCACAGGTTGCATGTCTCTGACCTAGCCTCTTGCTAATTCTAATGAATTGAGCCTACCAGCACTGCCTTTTGATTATAGGGAATGATAGTCTGAAAGAAAGAGGATGTAGCCAAATGCTCGTGTACTGTGTTGGTTCATAAAAGAAGGTTATACTGGGCAAAGGTGGGGGGGAGGATGAAAGCATTCACTCACTGAAAAGCTGGAATTAAGTGCAAACACATATGCATGGTGTATCGGCAGAGAGTATGCTCTCTGTCATATTGCTTATATCTCTGACATATGTCTTCCCAGAAAACTTTCTACCAGCCTGTGGATACAGTGTTGATCCAAAGATTTTCTCCATTTTCTGCAATGCAGTGTAGCTCCATTGAGAAGAATAGAGTCACATCCTTTCTATACTGGTGGAGAATCTCAGAGTTTAGATATGGATGTGTTTAACAGTTGTGTATGTTCAGCAGTAGCAAAGCTCTGTAGAGTAGGCAAAGCCAGACTGAAGTTGTGTTGGGGTACGCCCCTTACAGGGGTTGCGGACCCCTTCTACTGGCCTGTGTCTCGGTCCAGACCCCTCTCTCAGGTTATATACAGTACCCCACATCTCAAAAGTCCCGGCCCCACTCTCAGGGCATATACGGGACCCAAAGTCTCAAAAGTCCTGGCCCCGCTCTCAGGGCATATACGGTACCCAAGGCCTAGTTCTGGGGAAAAAGCCTCTCCTGGCCTGAGTGATTCCTCCGGTACGGCAAGGGGTGGTAGGGAGACCCGGGCCCTCACACTCCACCGGGTCCCAGCTCAGGGCCCTGAAGGCAGGGACTCTAGGTCCTGCCAGCTTGGTGGGGAATCCAGCCACTACGCACCAAGCAGAATTAGTAAACCTCCACCCTGGGCCGCTTCCCTATCACCCTGGCACCCCCACTAGTCTGTCTGTTGGGGTGGCGGTCCTTACCGGGGCTGGGTAGACCCGGAGGTGTGCCCGCTACTCTGCGGGGTTGGGGCCAGCTTCCCTCGGGGGGCCCAACGCTGGCCTTCAGTTGGGTCCGAGTTGTCGCAGGAACACCGGCTTTGAGGCCTGGCTCCTCCTAACCTCTAGTTGCCCTCCCTTCTGCTGGGCCACTGCCTTCTTTATACACTAGCCCTGCTGGGAACATGCCCAGCAGGGCTGTAAGGGCGAGGCTCTTTCAGCCAGCTGGGCTTGGACTACTCCCAGCCCTTTAGTGTGGGGCTTGTTCGCCCCATCACAACGTGACACTGCCTGTAATGCATCTTAGAGACGGAAAAAACTATAGTCTTCAAATCAGAATGAGAAAAGTTCTGGAAGGCATTGTAGGTGCCCTGTAACCATGACAAGTCATGTAACCAAGGGATTACAAGGAGTTTCCTCACTCTGATATGAAGATTACAGTTTTTCCTGCATCTAATAAGCATTTAGACATTAAATATTTACAAGACTAAGATGGGATACTTCCTCTCATAGGGTAATTCTAGACTACAGGCTTTTGTCAACAGAAGTTTTGTCGACAGATACTGTCGACAAAGCTTCTGTTGACAAAGAGCGTCTAGACTACATCCAGTTCTGTTAACAAAGCAAGCCGCTTTGTGACATGACAGTGTAGACACAAAGGACAGTGTGGGTGCAATAACGCCTTCTGTCGACAGAACTCAGTGACAGTGTAGATGCAGGGAAAGTTTTGTTGACAAAAGTCCACTTTTGTCGACAAAACACTGTAGTCTAGACACACCCATAAGGTCAGAATTTAACCCTTGATGTTACAAAAAATCTTCTGCCATTCTTTAATGAAAGGCAATCCAAATAGTGTGTAGTGTGTTAGTATATTATTATTATTAGAAGTTAGAAGGGTGTGGAGGAAGGTGCTCAGACTACAATGTCCTCATTAGAGCTTATCAGTTGATTTGTATGTATATATCTTAGTCAAGCATTTTATTACTTCTATGTGATTGAAATACTTAAGAGGACAGTGAATTTCCAGCAGTCATCCATCTCATTAGCATCCACAATTGTAAGACAAATGGAGTCTCTTCTGTCTGCAAATCAATAAAGCTTTAATGGCTCAAAATAAAAGTGCCATGGGACATGGATCAGTTGGCTCCTCTAGGGATTTTCAAATACCTAGGGGAATTAAATGGTCAACTTCTATTGAAAGTCAAGTGCTTTAACTGCTTTGATGGAGTCATGTTCAGAACTTGGAACTTGTACCTGTATTCAGGTTCCTAAATTTAATGACTACTCGTGACTATTAATGCAACACAAAGCTGCATTTCTAAACACTGATGATGTGTTACTGGTCTGGGAGTCCTTAAAAGTATGGCAAGACATTTTAGACATTCAAAGACACATACAGTTGCAACCCTCTGAACTATCTAAACACTATACATTTTTATGAAGTTCTCATGAAACAAACTTTTCTACTATTCTCAGATATCTAAAATATTGAAGACATTCACTTCAGTAATTTCCAGGTTGCAGTCCATGCAACGCTTGCTGGTCTGTAGGGAGCTCATACTTTAAATAAGTCTTGACAGAGCTGGTTTGCAGCTGCTTCCACAGTTTTCAAGACTTCTCCTTATAAGATATCTCCTCATTTTTTGAGGAGTAACGTTAGTTCGAACCAAGGGCTTTGGTTCAAATTACAGCATCCTGGTGTGCACTTTCTGGTTTGAATCAGCTGTGATTTGGACTAGCGCACTGGGTGAGATCTTGCTAATGAAGCATGAGATATTTAAAACCCTGCTTCATTAGCAATTTCAGTCACCTACATTTGCATCCCTAGTCCGAACTAGGGAGCAAATGTCGATGTACCCTGAGAGTCCTAGAGGCAAATGAAAACTGTTTAAATCATCCCATATATAATCATTAGTGTCCCTTGTGGCTAATGGGAAAGCTAGCAAAAGCATTTGAGCCATTTATTTACCAAGTTCATCGATGTTTTTTTCAGATTAGGCCAAGGTTTCTCATACTTCATTGCATTGTGTTCCTCTTCTGATAACAAAAATTACTACACAACTGCAGAAGAGAGGACCAAAGCCTGAGCTCTCCTGAGCCCCACAAAAGACCAAGACCAAGCACTGTGACTACAGGAAGGGGGATTAAAGCCCACGGGTTTACGCCCCAGATAGGACACCTGTAACTTGAGCCCTGCTACTGGGACTTTGACTTTGGCCCTGGACTGCAGCAAGTCTAATGCCAGTCCCAATGATTCCATTAAAATGGAGTCACAACCTACTTTGGGTTCCAAACTCATAGTTTGAGAACCACTAGATTAGGCAATCTACTACCAGCTTTTAATGAAATATCTATACTTGTACTACTGCCTGCAACAACATTGGGTACAAAATGCTACTAACTTAGTTACACTGCCTAGTAAGAGTAGTCCAGGATAGCACTGAGTTGAATTCACTCATTCATCTTGGAAAGTTCCTAGATAGTTATGATAAGCAACTGTTCCTCTTTCACAGGAGCTTTCACATGTACCGGTCTGCATGAGCTATCTTCCCTCCTCCCATCTGTTCAGTTTATATATGAAGTATCTTGGAAAGTTTGCTCAATTACTGTAATATGCTAGTGACACTTACCTTTCTCTCCTCAGTGGACAGGACTAGAGCTATCACATAGATATCAAAATGCTTCACGGAAATAAGCAGGTGGCTGAAGATTGGTTTAAGAAGTACCCAGACAAGACAAAGGATAACTAGAAAAACTATCAAGAGCTCATGTCGCTCAGTCACCAAGGCATGAGCTCTTCATGTCAGCACTTAGTAGCCTGGCATTTAGGCAGGGAAAACTTGCAGAATCACATCACACTAGTGCTCTGTACTTTCCATGTCCATGGTCTGAGGCACAGCTAACTGAAAGACCACATCTCTTTCTGCCTGTTTTGGGGATGATGAAACTGTTGCTGGCTAGAATGAAACTCTGGACAGCCAACGTCAAAATATTAGCAAAAGAAAGTTTTTAATCTTTGGGATGCTAAAAATAGGAATGAGCTGCAATTGCCTCATGTTCAGATCAAAATGCACTGATGACTAATAACAAAATGAACAGAATGTAAAGTAGGGAGAAGAGAAGAAAAAAGACAGAAGAAAGGGTAAAATGCAAGATAAAACTGTGATAAGAGAAGAAATAAATATACTTTATAAACAACTCACTAAATATTATAGTCAAACAGTGTGGAAGAGGGAAATATTCTTCACAGAGAATCTTTAAAATCTTTTAAGCATGGAAACTTAAATGGTACACTGCAATGGTTGCCCTAAAACTGCTTAACAGAGATTTATAAGGCAGGTTCAGAAAGGTCTGAAAAAGCATTTCAAGAAGACTGAGGTCAGTTACGAATGAATTAAATTACTGATTTCCTTTTGAATTTTTTAAAATCAATTACTTAAGTTCTCTGCTTAAACTAAGATTTCTCCCAGAGTGAAAACTGTGAACACAGATAGCTTCATTAAGCCATTAAATATTAAATGAGCTAAATTAAGCTTGAAAAATCACCTCAAGCTATTTTTCCATCTTTGGTCTTTCATATAAATGAAAATGACTACATATTGTGCCAAGCTTTAATCAGCAGGGTGTAGGCAGTGGAAGGTACAGCAATACTTTCCTGTTTTACATTTTTCATCTTTGTTTTTAGGGGGTGGCCCTCTAATCTCCTGAACCAGTTAAAAATAGTCAACTTCTTGAAAACTTTAATTTCCAAGTTCACTTTTTTATAATAAATTATGTAATAGAAATACTGTTCCTTCAGCCCACTGTGTGCAACATGTAGACTATATTTAATCTCTCAGGTCCCAGTAGGAAATGCTTTAAAATACTTCATCTTCATTTCTCTTCTTGACTTTCTTTCTAAAATGTCCCAGCTGCGCTTGCATGAAGCAGTCAGTTCTTTTCCTCCAAATGTCATTGACCATGCTGAGCTGCTACCTGCTAGTTATCAGCAACTACCCGGAAACTTTCCAGCAATGTCTTTCAGAAGTTGAATTAAAAATGAGGAGGCTGTCAGGACCACAGATCCCTCTCCTCTGGCAAAAATAGAAGGAGAGCTCCTCATGGTCTCTGTGGCTTAGAGAAGCAATATTCCACAGAAACCCTCTTCCCACATAGTCAGTGTGGTGTGAGCACTTTGTTTGCTTTAACTTCCATTGCAATCTATGTGCACAGAGTCTTATTGTTTAAATCAGTGTAG